AAAAGCTGTGAACAAGACAGCCTGTAGAAAGTTGAGCTTTCTGTGTTAGCAAATAACAACCTTAACTTTTGAAGTGCCATTTACAAAGCAACCAACAGCACTTAATTGACAAAACTGGTAAGCCATATATGTACAATTGCCCCTACTGTATTCTACATGTATACTTACAGCCTGCAAAGCACTCATTTTCTTCCCTGCAATGGTTTGGGGCACAACAAACATAAATGAATTAAGAGGGGTCGAGGAGTCAAGGGGGCAGAGTAAAGAAAACTTTTGGATGCCGCAAAGCTCTTAGAATGAGCTTCACGGCTATTAATGCAGTGTTTGACACTAATTTTCTTGCTAATTCGCCCTTTGGGTAACTAGTTCTGTTTTTGTTGGTTCCCCATGTGTCTTTTTAGTTGCCTACCTAGTAGACTTTTGTTGCCCATTAGCACTCATAAGAAAACTTCAACTTGCAGAAATGCTCAACTTTATTTTATAAACTTGCCTTCTTGTTTTGGTGTTGCAACAGCGATTCAGTGGGTGATTAATCAGTCATAGAGCACATCCCTCACAAGATGGTAAACATCCACGAACTGTGCCCACACATTTTGATGAAACTCCACTTTTCTGACAAATAGACCCACTGAAGCACTTTTATTGGTCAAATACGATGAACCAACTGTCATGAATGAAAACATAATTCATGCCCTGAAGCACATGATCATTATTATTGTTATTATTTTTGTTTTCATCGTTGTTGTTTTTATTATTGCTATTTTTATTTGTTATTATTGTTATTATTAATTGTCTTTTTAACTATATAAGGACCTGCAAAAAGGTGACTTAGCCTGTACCTGTAGTGCCCATTTTGTATTTGTAATCATAGAAAAACAATTCTCTGCCTAACCAGAGATCAGTCAGGGAGTAGCTTACAATCCTGTCAACAGTGCCCCATTTCTTTTTGGGTCACAACAGTAAAAATTATAGCCAAAATATTGCAGTACGGTGCAATTTGGGTGGAAAGACTTTGACACAAAAGTTATTTCCAAATACTGGTGCAAAATGCTTCTTTGAAAATTCAAGGAGGTATATTATGAAGCATTTTATTGTGTTTTCATAACTAGGGTTAATGCTTTTTATGGTTCGCATGATCACTAATGGACTAGCCACTTTGATTTAGCAAGCTTTGGGGCATTAGCTTCTCACAAAATTTGGGTTCGTGGCTTGTTTCAGAAATGAGAGTCAATTATATAGAAACTTTCAGTGAATGTTAGAGTTAAATTTACACGACTTTAATACTTCTAAACTTCTGCTCAGACAAATGATTTCCCCGAAACTTGGGCATGGTTTGTATTAAGTCAAAACAAGCTGGTTCCAGAAATTGAGCAAAAGTATGTGTCTGAGCAAAATTTTTTTACTGTTAGTGTTGTTGTCAAAAAAATGGGGTCCAGTTAAACACCAGTGAGCCAGAATAAAAAATATTATCCCCAGTAAATGGAATTTAAGTAACATTATCACTGAGTGAAAGTCAAAATATTTCCCAAAATTTCTTAACCAACACTTCAAAGCCCTAAAATTTATGTTACAAACTTTGACCATGGGTGAGTGTGCCCAGAATAACTGCAGAGCCACCTTAAGTAATAATGAAATGGAATCAATAGAAAAACCATGATAAGAATGGTGTTGGGCTTGACTTTTCAAAATTACAGAAAAACACCAATTGCATCCAGGGCCATCCAGATCACAGTTTTCATGCAACATACATTTAAATAGAAAGGAATTGGAAGCCAAATTAACTTAAACTAAAAATGACAGACGCATTTTAAAAATAAAGTGGTTTGCTATTAAACAGTTAAAAACAGTTCCGTTATATTTCTTATGTGGGAACATAAAAAATAAAAGGGTTGGTCAAACACAACTCGATACACCACCACAACCACCCACATATGGTACTCTCCCGTGTCGATGTGGAAGGAAAACAACTTGTTTTCCCTCTTAGAGGAATTGGAGTTTGCAAGCCCTGATAGTTGTTCAGATTGTTTTCTTTGGAGTTAATGATGATAAATTGATTAACACCAAGTTAATTACGAGAGCACTCAACAAGCAAATTGATGGCATTTTGTTGGGTTCTTCATTAGGCCGTTCTTGTTGTTGTTGCTGTTTATCATGACAGAACTCAAAAATGATATTGTTCGTAAAATGCTTGACAGTGGCCTTATAAATGAGTAGTTTTATGGACGTAATCGCATCTATAACAAAGTTCTCGATCGTGATTGGTTGTCCACGCACCTATTTGTCACTTAATCGGCGCGTGATCACGTGGGTGTCCAATTACAGGTATCCAATTTGAATTTTTTGTAATTGGATACCTATAATTGGATACCTACGTGATTTTCACGTCAATTACGCACGCTTTAATGGCTTCCTTCGCAGTGTTTCCTACAGTTTTCAACACTTATGAAAAGCGCTACAGACCTTTTCACTCAAAAACAAACTTCCTAACATTTTTAATTCCAAAATTTGTTATAGATACGATCTATCAGTAATTGGACCTCGTGTCGTACAATTCATAATGGTAATTGAACTGAGTGGAGTGCAATTTGGTCTGAAATCATACGCGTGATTTCAAAATCGAACGAGCGCGCAGCGCTCGTTCGATTTGAAATCACATGTATGATTTCAGCCCCAAATTGCGCGACACGAAGTTCAATTGCCACTTTTAGCTTTTTGGTGTATTGTTCCAGTAGCCGGTTTGTTAAAAAGAAAAAGCGGAACCGGAAACGCTTTTACGTCTCATTTAGTATGCAAAACGATGTCATGTGACGAAAACTCATCCGAG